GCAGCATTGATGGTATTCGAAATGCTGCTGGTTATGTGAATCAAGACAGAATTATTTTATAATAACGACAATGAAGCTATTAATCAAATATTAAAAAATGAGTCAGACTGGGAACGAAGACCATTATCCGATGTATTAGATCTGATTGATAGATCATTAATAGCACAAAAGAATGAAACAATCAGAAGTTTGTATGGAGGTGGTGAATTACAGTTAATTGGTCCTTTTGTTCGGTAAGAGCAAGTATAACTCTCCTGGTCTGGAAAAATAATCTGATCATTTTTAGATTTGAATATGATAGCAGAATCTGGTCAACTAAATTTTAATTAGCTTCTAAAATTCCAAACATGAGCTTTTCAGACTCAATTTTAAATGGAAAATAATGAACAAAATTGATTTTGAAATTTTAGAAAACGACCAAGCATGAAAATTTCGCTGTTTTTTGCTGAAGCTCAAAAGATCCGTATTTTAGAAAAGATTTCATCCAGAAATGACGTTGAAAAATCTTAAATTGGCTTTTTCCTAGGTAAATCGATGAGCTCTATCCAACCATGCCAAAAAGTAGGGAAAAAAATCATATTATCTTTTTGAATTGTCGGCACCTTATATCACTTTGCTCTAATTTTCTGTTTTGTGTTTGTTTCAAAGCATTTAGCAATACAGAACTTGCGTCATTCAGTGGAAATCATCTGGATCAGGAAAACTTAGGACTTTTCCTCAAACAGCAGGACGCAAATAAATATTGTATGTTTATCAAAACATATTTATTATTCCTGATATACTAGAATCATGAATTCAAATAGTTTTTATAATTTGATTACGTCTCAATGACACTGTCACTATATTAAGAGAAAGTACATCGGCCGTTTTGAGTTGATTTTTCCTTTTTATTCGTTAATCGCTGTTTTATTTTAACTTTGCTTCGTGACCAGAGTATGTCTAGAAAACTTTTCATATCAAATTGGGAAACTTTTTTATCCACAGTGTCGAGTGATCGTATCGGAAAAACAACCAACTTCGGTAAACGTCGAAAATGTTCTTGCATTTTTAATTTGACCGAAGAATCAAATATAAACGATCAAACTTTAGCATTGAATCAACATAATATTTTAATGTTGAAGTCTCCGAATAGAAAATCCAAACAAATGAAACGACGTAAAAGGATATCAAAACAATTTACTCGAGATAAAAAGATAAATACTGACATCATTAATTCAGATTTTACTCAAGAACAACAGAATTCAATGAAATCACTCTTAGTTCAATCCGAAGGAAAAAGTTCTTATAGTGGTATTGACATGCACTTGAATACTAATACGAACGATAAGGACAATCATTTTACCATGAATAATTTAATTAATGATGATTTAGATATAAATATGTCAGCTTTCGATCAAAAACAGGTCGCAGTTGCACAAATACAATATATAAACACTGACAAAGAAGAAAGACAAAGTATCACTGACTACTTTATCCATCAACTTATACTAAAACATGATAGAGATGAACAATTAAAACAATTCAATCTAAAAAATATGCGTACAGCACTCTGTAAAGATTATAGTTTGAGTATAACATCACTCAATAATTTGTTTGGAAAATTTCATGATTATCATCATATTGAAATGAAAAAATCTAATTTACAAATGTCTGGAGCTTTGTGGCGTACAACAATGTTAGATGATTATGATCTGGGTGTATTTAAATTTCTATTTGATCAAAAAACGCTAATAAATATAACTAAAATCCATAAAAATCTTTTTGATAAAATTGAATATGATATGAAACATACAGAAAATATAATTCAAACAATGAACAATACCATGTTAAATCAGACATCAAACAACACCAGCAACATTGTTCAATCAATAACTATACAGAATTTTCCAATTTCAGATAGAAAAAGTGAAACAGATTGTCGACTTATTATTGATACATTTCTTAAACAATTGTGTGCAGTGAGTAATGTACAGTTTAGAACAGAATTATTAATTAAACACGATACATTACCAATTAATCAATATGACTATGTTTTTTATCAAAATAGAAGAATAATTGGAGCATTTGAAGGTATTCTTTTTTTTCGGTTAACACGTTATTTATGATTGAACTTTAAAGTATAGCAAATATGAAAATGTTTTGTTTTGATGAACATGAATTTAATTTGATTTTCATCTTTTAGCTAAAACTCCTCTAACATTGAAGTGTGATAGCATTGTACAAGGAATCATTCAATTATTTGGTTTAATAGCTTTAAATCAGGCTCACATCCGTATGCCAGTGTTCAATATCATTAGTGATGGGACAAAGTTTATTTTTATTAAATTGGATAAAAATGGTTTATATTGTCAGACAATGGTCGATAATGAAAATAATATTCAGGTGTGGGATCGATTCAAAGACGGAATCGATCTTGTAGCAGCGCAAACACTCTTATTATTTGATAATTGCCCTGATGCATTATCACCTTTCGAGTAATTGATTATCAATAATGTAATATACTACACCTACAACTATAAAATCTTTTATATTTTTTATTTTATTAACGAAAACTTCAGTATACATGCATGATATCGAATGACGGTGGCGAAATGATATTTGGCTCCCTACCTATAATCATTCTCGAAATTCGAGAAAACAAGAGACAGAATAATCTTGCAGAAATTAGAAAAATATCTTGCTCAAATCACAAGTTAAAAATGTCAAGATAGTTTTAAATCAAAGTCAGTCTCATCGAATGTATGAAGTAGATTTTGGCTTTTTATCTTTTTTATATTTTATTCCATCTGCAAGTTAAAAAAAACTGTAGAACTAACTGTATTTTGCATACTGTAAGGTCTGCTAGAAAACCTTGAGAAAGAGTTTGAAACACATTCTAGATAACAACATCTAAGGATCCACCTAAGGAGAGATGTACTCTGCATTCGGAAAGGATCAACACATGGACCAACTTATGTCTTTTTATCTTATGTTTTCAATCATGTCTTTATCACAACTAGCAAACATCTGGCTGATATCGCTGTAGAATTCCTTTATACCACCATTACGCAAAACTTCCATCTTTTTATAGAAAACGTGACGTTTTCCAGTGGCCCTCGAAAACCAGCTGTCAGTTTGTCGTCAGCAATTTTAACATATAGTTGAAGTAATTCTGATGCACTGACATACTAATGAATCAATCACCTGGGATAGAAAAAACGCTCCATGTATATATTTAAAATCGTCTGGCTAAATAAACTATTATGTTTCAAAATATGACACACTTGAATGTTTCTTGAATAATCAGGGCAAACTGGCTGAGTTCTGAAAATTTGAAGGGTTGTGGTTGAAAAGTACGGTTTTTATTGTTGGGTGATCGTAGAGAAAAATCGAAGTTCTCTTCGCCAGAATGTAGAAGGACATCTGCTCTATAACTCTATATATTTAGAACAGTATTTCATTATACAGATTTTTAGAATGGCAAGCTCGGACGGTACACGACGGTAGACTTGTCGGATCTGGCTCAAGTTTACATAGAGTTATGCCCCGATGTCTACTTGAAAGCCGCAGGTCTTTATTCCTATTCATTCTCGAGTTATTCAAGAAACATCCAAGTGCATCATATTTTGAAACACATAGTAGAAAATTCAGCTGTTGTTTGAAAGCGACCCCATTGATTTTTATATACATGTTAATTAAGTCAAACGAGTTAAACTACAATTTTTAATCTTGTTCAGTCTCAATTAATTTTATTATAAAGTTTCACACAAAAGAGATTCAAATAGTTAGTCCATTTAACCAATTTGTTCGAAGTTGAGGAAGTACTGTATAAGAAATAATGCCGGTTGTTGAAAATGTTTTATAATTAATAATATCATCGTACAATGACTAAAGCAAAACATTTGTGCATTGTTAAAATACACCTAGAGATATAGGCAAAATGGAACATACTTGATCATTTTTGTCTCGAATCCATTTTAGTATAGAAGATTTCAATTGTTTATGTTCACTTGTTTGATCAAATATGAATATATTCAAATGATGAACAGCAATCATGTGTAGTAAAGGTTGAACATCTTTCTTAATATGTTCACGAATAAGTACTTGTGCATAACAACTAATTAGTTCAATATCGGTTTCAGCCGGATAAAAATACGTCTGTAATGGTATCAGTAACTACAAAGGGGCAACAAAAACAATGACAGAAAAGAAATATGAGAAGGATGTTGATGCAGACCTCATTTGGTTTTAATCGTAAGAATTTTAACGTTGTTGCATGCTCAATCCATACTATTTTGCGTAACTGCACATCATACCCCTGTTGTAACGGTATAAATAGATAACATGAAAATAAAACATCACCAAATGACGACGCTTCAAATTGATCCACTAGCAGACGAAAACTGAAATAGACAAAAACATATCTTTATACTTCTCACTTAAAAAAGAAGAGATAACAAGATGTAAACTTTGAGGAACTACTCTTATGTTCCGTTATTCTTTTATTACCACATGTACGCATATTACCACTGTACGCACTGATATATGACTGCTAAGTAGGGATCTGCAAGCCGATCTGATTTTAGAGTCAGATCGGGTCGAACCTTGTATGGCACAATTCAAAATATAGATAATAATCTCAATTCTGTATTATTCTTCGGTTTGAAATTAAGCTCTATTTTTAGTTAATACTTCTACATCTTTTTTTCTAACGAGGAAAATCTATACTTTTTTGCCAAAAACATTTTTCTTGTCGGATCGTTTTTATCGGTGCATGTTACGTTTCCTTAAACCGTGCAGATCTTTAGTATAAAGTGAACTATTCGTAGAACTATAATAAAATCGTTTAGTATGTATGGTTTAGAAAAGACTTACAAATCAAAAAATGTCATTAATGATTGAACTGTTGTCTTTGTATCTAATTTTTGTAATAAACCATTGTCATTATACAAATTCAAAAATGCCGTCATATATTGCACAACATCTTTGTTCAAGAATATATTTGAGCCAAGTAAATAAATACCAGCTATCATTGAATAACGTGTGGTCATATTGACCAATTTTAATAGTGAACATTTTTTCATTTCTAACATGTAAACAAATCTTAATGTACTTAATACTGTTCCAAGTTTCTGTTCTTCTTCAACAACATCAATTGCTCTGGCATAATACGACGGTAACAAACCATAAAACCAATTATGATCAATAAACATATTTGAATTTGATGAATACATATATCGAGCAATTAACTTGGGTTTTACTTCACTTAATAGTGCATAATGAACATCAATTGTTGACAGTAGCAGATTATCATTATCGGTCTGTCGATTTACTTTGAGGATATTCAAATAATGATAATACAATGATTGTAAATAATCAATAGAATCTTCATACAAGACAGAGTCTTTTGCTGAAGAATTAATAATTATTTCATTTGATGCTAGACAAATCGTACGAGAAGATTGCTCATCTAACTTGAGATCGTGTAAATTATCATTAATCTCGACTGTATCCCTTCTAAAACAAGTAACATATTTAATGACATATTTCAGCAGTGAAAGAATGACGTCTGTTATTTCTTACTTCTTCCAATATGCTTTGTCGGCAAGTATTAGTTTTAGAATTTCTTGCGCCAAATAGTAATGTCCATGAAGCAAATGAGACATCATCAGGAATAATACTTCGTAATAAGTTGATGATAATTCATGCTAAACAAATTATCACAATAGAACCTAATACGTACGAGTTAGAAAACACATACTTCTTGCGAAAGTGTCTGCATCAGATAGAAGATAAATATATGTTCAAAACGTTCAAACCAGGATACAAATTTAGCCGAAGCTGATGATAGTTTTACTAAATATTTCTTCAAATATGAATGAATATGTCCATCTTTAGTAATATATTCAGTAACAAACATTCGCTGAAAGATAAACACAAATTCAAAAAAGTAGTCTCAATCATGAATGTATAAAACAAATACAGATTATTTAGACAGATGTAGTGGAACTACTGAGAGAAGGAAAAAAACGAAAAATTACGATCACGATTAAAAGTCATTCAAGCATACCGATATTGCTTGTTTATCAATTGTATAAACAGCATTTATCAAACGTAACACGGCTGTCAAATATCCAAAAGGTATTGAAGATGATAATTCTGTTTGGATCAATGTCGGCAAATTCATCATACTGTTCGATGGTTGAGTAAATATTCCATTTTTAATTGACCTATATAGATAGATAAAAAAAAAAATGAGCATACATAAATATGTACGACAGTGGCAGTGAGACTGATTGAGTGAGTGGGAAGGGTTAGTCTTTCAACGTGCACTATTGCACGAAATTTGTGACTCTATTTACTGTGATGAAAAGTTGTTGGTTTATTGAAAAACTAACTGTACATGAGAAACGACATCAAATTTTAGAACAGTACTATTCGTCATTGTTGTTGCTACATTTGTGCCTAGTCACTAATGGATGACAATTATTACTCACATAAGCTTTGAATCCAACAATTTTGTACGAAATAAATGCAGAACTGGCTCAATGATGTGTGTCTGTACAAGTTGAGCTTTAGATCGTAAATCAATTAAATTAATTGCCTAAAATACGAGAAGTGTTACACTTCAGTTCAACAAAAAGTATAATGAACATACAAGTGTTTGTTGTCCAATTATGAATGATGCCAAACAAGACATACAAACAAGAAGAAGATTGTCAAGTACAGTCTAAACAACATAAAGATGCAATTGACTATAGGTTGGCTAATTAATCAATAAATGGTTTACTAGTTCATCGGGATCAAGCGTTTTATCTGTTGTAATCAACGCTAAAATTTGTTTTCCAGTCGATAATATCAAATCAAATAAGCCATCAACATAAGACCAATTGACAGATTGAATATAAACTATTGTTGTCGACTGTTCCGAAGGATTACTTAAAAAAAGAATGACAATCCAAATAACGATCTATGAAAGAACTAAGCAGTCAATACGTACCTACCGACGACTTTGATTAGCAGCATTATTGATCAAACATGATTTCATTGAATTGAACATTAATGCATCAAATAGACTTATAATGTGTAAAAGAAGAGTGGAAGTAATTGTGTGCGGTAATTGTTGTATAAATGTTTGACATGATGGTAGAAATACCATCGAAAGTAGCGAACTAGAAAAAAACAAAAAGGAGTTGATAAAACTATTGATCTAAAAGCGAGTGTACTCATGTTCTTATAAAAAACCTAATGCTCTTTGGAGACTTTACCAAATAGGGAAAAATATTTCCTGAGCAGCAAAAGCTTTGTTTAGGTAAAATAAAAGGTTTATTTCCAACATACATAGAATCTTCGGACAATAATCCGTACAGCAGATATATTCGCCAAAGAGCTAATAATTCAATCATAATATCCATTTCTAGTTTGTTATGTACACAGTTAAGACTAAAACAACAAATAATATGATGTAAAATACGAACTATTTGAAAGAAAAGTATCACTTACTTCGTTGCTATATAGGTGTGTAATAGAGTATGAATATTATACTGACTGATTAATGTAGATGCCATTGGAGCGCCGGATAAACTAATAACTCGACATAATTTCAATGCTTCTTTCAACGGGTATCCATATAAACCTATAAATAACTCAACAATAGTTATTATCTGACAATATTATGTTTTATTCCTCTGTATACTTGTTTGAACATCCATTGTAAATGTTTCCGGTATAAATTCTCGAAAAATAAAATCCATTAATTGCTTGTCGTTTAAGATCTGATTAAAAAACAAAAAAAAACTTTACATAATACATATTATTGTGATAAAATCAAATAATTACCTCATTGGCAGAATGCATTGAGTGTCTAGCTATTCGTATCAAAATATCAAATGAACGCTTAACTGGTGTAACAACATTGCTTGATGACGATAATTGTTTCATGCGATCAAGAAGATATAAGAGACGTCTGAATATATTCATCCGTAAAAGACATTTGATAATATCTTGCTGTAGTAATTCAATATCAGTTAAATCGGATTCAACTCTTTTTTCGCCAAAATCAATATTCGGTGTTAACGCTGGCTGTAGATAACCACATGGCCAATAAATTGTTTTGTCTAACCCATCCTGAAAAAGAAACATTCCTTTGAAGATACAACGGCAATAATTCAATTGAATCAATTTTACTTCATCATATTTTGGTGCAATCAAATTAGCCATGCATTCAATTGCTGTCATATAAATAATATCCACTTGTTCATCCATTGCCCAACGTATAACGAATAATAGGCCGGCTTCGATAAGTATGGGTAATAAAGACGTATGAAGTTCTGCATCATAAATACCACTATGTGCCTATCAATACGAAAAATGAAAGGCTATTCATCGATAAAATAAAGACGTAACTTACCTGTGTGATAATATTGCTCAATGTTTGAAGTGCAATAACTCTTTGTTGAAGAATGGTACTACGTGCCAAATGGAATAATTCTTCTAGTGTATAACCAGCCGCCTATAAACATAATAAAAAAATTGACATCCAATAGTTCGTGGAGTATAACATAGCTGTACATACTTCAGGTTCATCACCATGATGATGTAAAGATGCTGTCACTGGTATAACCTCTGAACGTGATATTAAATTACCTTTAAAATCAAATCGAGCAGGTACACCATTGATCTATCAAAAGGAAAAGAAAACTCATCTATGTTTTTAAAACTGTCGAACAGCTTACATTATTTTCTCCATGATTCACAGATGGTGCCTGAATTTCTTTCATCCATTCAAGTTTATCATGTTCTACTTTATCCATATGCAACCATTTCGTATCTGTTTCAACTGGTAATAAGTTTTGTGAGTCAAATGAATTTTTTTGTTCAGTTTCGTCTATATCCATTTTCATAGCTTCTTGCACATTGTTTGCTGCTTGTTGTTTATTCTTTTTTCGTATAAATGCAACCAGTTTTGGATCTAAAGTAACAGAAAGAACATTTATAAATATGTTTTTAAATTGCCACTATTCACTACCTAGTGTATTAAGTAATTTTTCCTTTTCATCTAATATTTCCGCTTCACTCATCGATTGTAAACGTTCTACATTTTCTTCGTGTATACGTTGTAATTCACGTTTACCAGTTACTTCTCCCAGACCTGCTCCACTTAATATCATTGATGGTTGTTGCTGTTGTATTTGCTGAAAAGACAGAAAGGAGTAATTTCAGACAAAAAATAACGAATTTGTGAAAACATACTGATGTCCTTTGAACGCTTGTTATTTTATTTAGATCTTGAGCCACTTTCAGTTTACCATCACGTTGCATTTGTTTAGCAAATAAGGATGATTTCTTTACTTGAGTTACCGTAATATTCTAAATATCATACACAAAGCTACTAGAGAAGAGATGATCAGTTAACGATTAATAACTTACATCAAGATTACCACGATGATGAACGGCAGGAAAAGCATCATTGACGAGTTTTGGCTCTGTAATACGAACAGCCGTAACATCACGTTCCTTACATGAATATAAAGATGTAATAAATCAGAACAGAAACACTGACAACTTACTTTAATAACAGGACGAATAACGGTTGTTTTACTCAAATCAAAAACAGCATCATTTTTATTTACTGATGTCTGGTGATTGACAGATTTCTGTTCTTCATTTTGCTTTTCAACCCGAATAACTTTTGCTGCTGGCTCCATGGTTGATCGCCGAAAATTTTCTTGAAATTCCATTAGATCATCTTCATTTTCATCTTTCATGCGTTTTGGTCTAGCGAGCAATCGGTCCTCCATGTTTAATTGCTACAATCTAAAATAGCATGTATGGTTGATCATATAAGCTATATTAATGTTTGAAACAACGACTCAGATATTACAGGCGAAGAACAGAAACAATGGTTGACAAAACAAACAGCAAGAAAGTTGAGACTCGTTAATGCTTTACCAAAAAAAACGTATCGTTCTCAAAAAGTTTTTTTCTATCGAATTTATACTCAAAATCTATCATTTTTAAAGCAGCTCAATGAATTTCGTCAGAAGAGTACCTTACTCTTTTAAAAGAGACACAAAACGCATTTAATATTCGCTTTTCATACTACAATATTGTTATTTTGCAAGTTTTTGTTATAAGGTGCCATCCTAGTGAAGTACTCAGAACATTACTATGACTTACTCACACATTCGTTGAGTAAATTTTCGAAAGAAATACACAGCAGAAGCTGTTTGAGTACTCAAAAGTCGTACTCACATACGCAACACTCTCACATGAGTACTCATCTGAGTATCCCATGAGTAGAAAAATGTATGAGTACTCGTCGCGTTTTTTAACAGAGTATTGAGTACTCATGCTTAATTATATTCACTAGGACAGTCTTTTCGAAACTTCCTGGCAGTCGTCTATTTACAACTATCCTTGACAGGTAGCGTAAAATAACAATCATCAAAAAATATTCTTTTAACTTTAGTCAAGGCTCTTACGAAAGAGTTGTGTGTGTTTGACGGCAACATAGAAAGATGTCCGTCAGATACTGCCTGGACAAGGCAGTCATAAGCGAGAAGTAAACGCTAATTTCATTTTAAATATTTCGAAGATATGTATAAGACGACTAATAAGGCAGTCAAACATGATATTACGTTATGTTTAATCTACCAGAAATAAATAGAAAACTTAAATGCAACAGAGATATATGCTGAATGACAAAACAATCCTCTCTGATAAGCTCGAGTCGATGAATCACGAAAGAAACTACTCAAACAGATAATTAACTGTTGACCATCGATGAGCAGGAGCCTGTTTCTTAAAAAAACTTAAGTAGAAAATCTGATTAAGTCAAACTTAAGTCCAAAAAAGTCTTTGTCTTTTTTGACTTAAGTAAGATTTTCTACTTAAGTTTTTTTAAGAAACAGGCCCCAGCAGTCCTACGAGGCTAAGTGTTTCCAGGAAACTTTCGGGATTCTACTGATTTCTGAGTTGCTCCATGTGTGAGACGGCGAGTGACATGGTATGCATTCAGGCAAGAATCAGAAGAACCACTGTGAATCTTCCCGAGGTCTTCAGAAAACTTTCGCGCTACTGGATCTAGTAAAACTTCTAGTATGCTGAGCAAAGTCATTCAGTTTTGTGCTGCAAGTGCCGACCGAAGGCAGACGCGTGTTTCCTTCGTACTTATAAATTTATTTAGTTATATATGTCTTATTGATATTGTGCAAAAACGAAGCTATCATGATTTGGTGGTAAAAAATCACGCCAATCAACTTTACTATCTATCCGCTCTCTGGTCAAAATCATCAGGATAAGTTTATAGCTATGGTGATGCTATAAAAGCGCTAATGGTTCCAAGCTAACCTTGGACGCAGAAATGAGGAACATTTTTCTTTTAAACCGATATTTAGATATCTTCCCCGCCGACTATATACGACATCTGCTTTATCATTTTTATAATTCTTCGTTTTAAAAATATGTTCTGTAACAGAAATGGAATCGGTTACAAAATCGAATCGATTGATTTTTTCTCGACCGTACCGGATCAGGATAGGCGTAGACCGGTTTGGATCGATAGTTCAAGCTCGTACCGGTTACAACTCCCATTGAAAAATTTTCTACGAGAGCAGTCTCAAGAAAACGTGAAATTTTTAGTTTTTTTAAAAAACGTTTATTTTACAGAAAAACTGGAGAAAACGTGATCTTTTAGAAACGATTAGTAACGCAGGAAAAACACTGACGTTTTCTTCCGTTTTCTTTGATATTAGATCGAAAATCCGTTTAAACGCTGGCGAAGAAAAACGCGTTGATTTTCGTATGGTTTTTGGTTGTGTTTAGTTTGCCAACATTTTTGTTTAACACTGTAAATGTGAACAAGGTACAGACTAGTTCTTCTCGTTTTTTCTCGTCTGGTATGTATCTAGTTGAAACTGTGTTTATTTCATGAGAAAAATCATTGAGAAACATAATATAAGAATGAAAGTATCCTCTGATAAGAAACTAAAAATTACAGAAGCATTAATGTTTAGAAAACATCACTTGTATTTATTTTTCACAGAAATATGACTAAACCGAAACACAAACGTGACGAAATGCCATAGCTGTTTTTCTAATTTCCACATATCTAAAACGAAAACGTTTTGGAACGCGAAACTCAACATGACATTTCATAGCGTTTGTAGGAAAAACGGACTAAAACGCCAGTTTTTAGTTTGGGATTTGAACGCATTTTTATCTCTCTATATTTCTGTGAAAAATAAATACAAGTGATACGGCATGGACTTCAAGTACGTGGGACTTACCGATGGACTACTAGCAGGTGACAACATTTGACCGCAATAGAAAACCATCCTTTAGAACTCGACCTGCCGGACAAAATAGTAGACCAGGTGGTTCTCTATTATGCGGGGCGGGCGGTTACATGAATTTCTAAGTTCCTGAGTTCCTAACTTCAAATATATGCATATACACATACTTCAAAATGTAGTTATCGTTTTAGACTCTCAACATTAGTACAATTGTCCATGACGCCGCAGATTACAAGATTTTAGTCTTTTATTGTAACAATTTCTTCAAAAAAAATAGCATGATATCTGCATTCAAAGGAAATTGTCACATTGTAAGACTTTCCAAATAGAAGGCTCCCCATTTTTCCCTTTGTGCCATTTTTTTCATTGTTGTTAGTCTTAACTGTTATTTTATTTCACGATGGTATCTGATGGGATCCGGCCATTAAATGTATAGCTACTCTCTAAAAAAAATCGGTAACTTACAAAACGAATATCGCTTTTGGCATTTGCTCCTAATAGAAACCGATATCCGTATCGTACAGTCCTATTTAACCGATCCGCAGAATACGCCTAAACGTTTTCTGCTTTATGAAGAGACAGATTTAGGTTTTGCACCAGAGAAAAAACGTTCAGGCGTATTCTTCGGTACGATTAAGCAGGACTCTACGATACGAATATCGGTTTCTATTAGGAGCAAATGCCAAAACCGTTATTCGTTCTGTAAACTATGGGTTTTTTTTGGAGAGTACTATACCACTGATCACTCAAATTTTAGAGGAAATCGGTTCAGCTTATGAGGGAAGGCCACCAACTGCCTCCTCGCTTTTGAGCTTCAACTCAGTTGACAATAGGTAATCGAACGTGCTAATTCCGAATATCACAATGGTTTTTGTTTGCTTTCGATTTAAAGACCCGTTTTTTAAAGATCTTGGTTTTTCAGTCGAAAAGCCATTTTCACTAAAAAATTTTCTTGACTTGTCCAAATGAAAGAGCACGCCGTCAAACCTACAGAAAACAATTTCTCAAGGTTCTAAGCAAGATTTTGAGCGAGTCTCAAAGCATGTTATGATCGTGTAGCGTTGGATGAACTAGATATACACTTACACGAACGAAATAACATCATACGTTTAGCCAGTCTAATGCACAATCAATTGAGCGCATATGTATTCACGCCAATGATTAAATACGCTTGGTTCTCCAGTGGCTTAATACCTGAAGATCCTCCTCCATTTGTCAGCGTTAATCAAGTTTGCTTTGCAAGTTCAGAAACTCATATACAGTGTGAAGAAAAAGACTGCGATGAGTCTGTTTTTATAACTTGTGCTCGATATCCGAAGAAATTGTGTTTTCAACACTTTTTTACCAGTTATCATTTCCATTACAAACACAGCAAATATTTTTACGAATCATGGCTCTGTGAAACTACTTTATTGTCACCTTTATCACAAATTGCTAATAACATGTGTGAAAAAACAGAACCGAAAGAAAAACGGTAGTTTTTCTTTTATAAATTGTGTAAGAATATTAGCGGTTTTTCCCTCCTTTTTTAAGGTTTAGACGCAGAAGACTCTCTCAAAATCTCGCTTAGAACCTTGAGAAATTGTTTTCTGTAGGTTTGACGACGTGCTCTTTCATTTGGACAGGTCAAGAAAATTTTTTAGTGAAAATGGCTTTTCGATTGAAAAACCAAGATCTTTAAAAAACGGGTCTTTAAATCGAAAGCAAACAAAAACCATACCTTCTAGTATAGAAGGATAACTGTCGAAAATGCTAACGTTTCATATATTTCTTTGTGCCAAATTCATTTTATCCTAACCTATAATAGCTGTATAATAGAATTTCTTTTTGTTCGTATTACAACGGGTCTATAGACTAATGTTAAAAAGAAAAATATTAAACCACTAATACTAAAAATCGATTAAATATTTTTCCATCTTATTTAAATATTAGTTCGTTCAATATTTTTCTTTATTTAAATATTTTTTCTTTATTTTAAAATAACTAAATATTTTTCTATCCCGTTTTTCTCATTTTAAATAAAGGAACTGATGTCGCAATTTAAACCTACCAAGAAGGTGCGAATATGCGGAACCTGGCTTTTGCATCTTATTTAAATATTTTTCTATCTTACAACAAGAAAAATATTTATTAGTTTAGATAGAAAAATATTTAACTGATTTTTGATATTAGTCGTTAAATATTTTTCTTTTTAACTTTTTTCGCTATACCCGTTAATACAATGTCTCCCCTCTGTAGTTTGATGCAACGTGTTTTTAAGTTGTGTTTGTTGTTCTGTATATCAGTTCTAGTTTTCTTTCATAATGCTGATATACATGCACCATTTTTCTCTTTTCTAGATATTTTTAGCCCTTTTTTATATTTTTATGTTACCCAGAGTTTGTAAGCCCTGGGGCCGTAGGATTTCTTTTTGCCGCTGGCCTATCTGTCTCATAAACTTTATCTTCGTCAGAACGAATGTCGTAGTCTGACTGTCTTCGATGTGATCAAAATAGTGTTCGAATTTTCAGTTCGACTTTTACTTCTCTACTCTACGCCTAATGAACCCATAGAATAAAATCTTCTCAGCTTTTATTTTTGTATGAATCTAGTGTAACTGCGTGGAAACATCAGTAGTTTAACTCCAGTTTTTCAATCTGCTAAGAGATAATAATACTTTTATGAGATTAAGGGTAATAATAATTTGAATTCTAACAACCCTGTTTTTAAGGTTTCTGCCTAATTTCTGTCAACAAGTAACCAAAGCATTTTATCCAGCACAATAAAATGATTTAGATTCCAAAAAGCAGACATTGAGATTATAAGAAATTTGAAATGAAGATTGAGCTTCTGCTATTCGAAGTTTCGCACGCTTGACATCAATTAAGACTAGTTGAAAGGCCTTTTCTTTTTTTCTTTGTTTTAACATTGAATCAACTTATTCGTTCGTCGATCTGTCATAATTCATCCATTACTTTAAAATGAATTACTTTTGTTATATTGTTATATTTGAAGAAAACATCAGTTTGTCCCTAAACGATTCTATCAACTTCATGTAATTGTCATCAAAAATATCCGTTTGTTCGTCTTATTTGTAATGGCAATAAATACGTTCATCATCTTCAGGCAATTAAGTGTAAAGTTATTAGGCTGTCAAATCTTGTTTGACATATATCTTAAAGTCAAAACAAGTCCATTTTGTATGTTGCCCTTTTACAGTTGAAATACATGTCACCTTTATAGATTAACTTTTTACATACATTTTACATTACAATTTTCCATATATTTTACATACAGTTCATATCTCAGTTTAGTGCAACAAGAAATGAACTAGTTTAAAAATTCTTTTTTCTAATGTGTACAAACTGTGCCGTTTCGGTATTTTTCAACCTCGTTGTATACTTAACAGATGTCTTGGCGTAAAATCGATTAGTATTAAACGTTTACTTTATACCATCATATGTTCGAAACCATTTCCAATTGTGGTGTGAGTTTCGCTTCACGCTATTTGTTTCCTTCTGGGATCATTGGTCTATTGTACTCATGCATGAAATTATTTTGCTCACAAATTATTATTACAATAGATGACGTCGGATGCTCTTTTTCCATGTAATAAAATCATAATAATCAGTCAATAGATATCAATTTTTTGAACGTTATGCATCTCCCCCAACTATAGTAGTATCTAATAACTGATGAAAGAAAGCATCAAGCTAAAGAACAATTTCTGATATTCAAATACATTATTATGGCAAGTATAGTACACCCCATGATTAAACAAATGTTAACTGAGAAGTATACTAAAAAACAGTCACTTTGAAAAAACCCCCAGAAAAAACGTCTCAAAAGAAGTGACAAAAGGAGGCCTTAATTGTTGTAGAATAATCACATATCTCTGAACCCTACCAGAAGGTAAATGCTTAAATGAATGACTGAATAAAATGAAATATTTGATTAAAGTAGCTGAATTAATGCTACTTTCCTGGACGATGACTTCTATTTCCTGTACTCGTACACTAATTGTTTTCGTACATGACGATGAACTATCAGTTACAGCAATTTATCGATCTATGTCGAATCGAGGCGTATAGACGATTCCTTCGAGTTTGATGATCCCAATAATCGCATCCTTCGGTGTTCATTCAGAATATTTTCATTCATCATTCTAAATATTGAAAACAACTAACTCGAGCTTCAGCATGACTCAGAATATGCTCTAAGTCATGCTATTTTCTCTAAAACTGAAGAACTACCTCCTATATTAACCGAAATATCTTTCTCTTCATCGCATGTATTTGTTTTCTTGTTTATATTTGCGAGTACATAGTACGTATGAGTATGAGAAGAACAAGAAGAGTAACAAATTGAACTCTATATCTTCTTTCTGTGTGATAATTTTATTCCCATGTGATTTTTTTGTTACATGTTGATGAAGGAAGTTTCAAATCTAAACAGAGCAAAACTGTCACTGTTTCTCATCCAGTCCTGGCCATTCCCTCTTTCTCTATTATCTTTTCATGCTAAGTTATACATAGTAAGAGGCAGCCTAAGTTGTCAAAGTTTGGGCTTTTCTATAACTAAAAACAAGGTTACAAAACAGAGTTGTTAAACCTAACGTTAGATTGTATGATCATTACTTACAAGAAGAAGAAAACGATGTGTTCCGAGCTTAGATCAAACGCTTTGTTATGAGCCTAAAGCATACCAGTCTTTCGATATCATAGTACTGAATCAAATCAATGCTCGTCACACCTGTCTTGTAAAAATATGAATAGAAACCTGATGTGATACTAATTTTCTTTCTGTTGTTGTTTCAATGAATTTTATTCCAAAAGCAAATAAGATTATCTTACAATTCATTTTTGTTTATTCTTTTCTACACATACATCCAAAAAAACACCAGTTTTTGTTACTTTAAGTCACACGGTGATGTCAAGTTTTAAATTAAACATAAAATAAAAAATATTCGACTGTAAATGTAGATCATTTCTGAACGAAAAATGAGACAGTAGCTGGTGGTAATATTAGGAAACAAAACATTATACCTATAGGGTACGTTAGTTGCAATTATCAGTTCGTTAGTCTGTTTATTTGTTCACAACCTGCCTTATAGTTTTCAAGAAGAAAAAAACAAAAACATACAATGCCAGCTTTTTTAATTAAACATACTGTCGGTTGAATTCATTCCCATTTTCACCAATATAATTCATTAAACCTTCGTATTCATTTCGTTTACCTAAACCAGACGCAAATTTCATTGATGGAAGTCGTTTTCCAAGACCGCTGGCAAATTTCATGTTTGCTAATCGTTTTCCCAGACCGCTAGCAAATTTCATGTTTGCTAAACGCTTTCCTAGTCCACTAGCAAATTTCATATTGGCTAGTCGTTTATTCATATCATATGTATCATCATCACTATCTTGTTCAATCAAAGATGTCTGATGTTCATGATCTTGTATCGTTTCTGCGTCAGATTTTGTGTCATGTATGGCTGTATTATAAACAACATTAATATGAAATAGAACAACGATCGATATAACAATTATGGCGTTGTACATCATGACTCGAAACTAAAAAAGAATAAAATTAGTCACAAACAAGTTGAAATGTATAAATGATCTAGAATTGTTTTCTATATCTAATAAAGTTTTTGTCGTTGCATGAATAAGTAATTAGCGATTTATATTGTTCAGATAATGTCCTTCTCCTCTCCCACATGAACCTGAATATTTGTTTGTGAGGTGTTATGATGAATCAATAAATATTCTAACTAAATGCTAACTTTAAGAGTTGTAAAAAGCCTTTTGAGAAATTATTTATCGAGGAAAACTAAAAAGAAACGTAAGACATGTTTCAGAATTGGAAACGAAATAGACTCGAAATCACCTCTATAATAAGTGTATGAATCATGTATACAACAGATTTTTGATTAAAAATAGACCTTAAGAAAAAATTACTAGTAAATCAATTTCGTAACATCGTTCGATAATTCTTTTTTTGCGGACATTTGGCAATGTGAACACAAATGTATTTGGTTCTGTTTTTACTAATGATCAACTTTTTCTTTCGTATTACATATTAGACAATGCAACTGTTCGATCACTGTCAAATTAACAAGTCGAGTTCAGCACGAGGATAAGTATAAAATAATAAAAAAAAGATTTTATTGAACAATAATAAAGGTATATATCAAGGGAACACTGTAAAGTATATAAAAGAAGATAAATCATAGTCTTAGAGAGTAGCAAGCACATCTAATGATGATGTAAGAATGCTATGGATATTATAGTAGTAGATACACTTTAGAAAAAGAACTATTCCTGCGGAGTTCGTTGTGCAAATTATATCTTACCTAATTATAAAAATTACATTTGCAATCGTGCGAACAAGAACTACAGTTTGTTATTCACCGTTGCAAGTAGAAAAATTCTTAGAATTCTGACGAACATCATTCCTTTTTTTTGCTTTTCTCTCTCTCTCTCTCTCTCTCTCTCTCTCTCTCTGTTTTTGTATTGAATATCGAACTTAAAACACATTGTTTTTCCTGATATATTAAATAGAAAATATTCTCATACCGGTAAATGTATTCTAATTATTGCATCGATTTTATTCAAACTATGAACAACAACAGTTCTTGTCTCATGCAAATATCATTTCTCCTTCTGTCGATCACCATATTGTCTTTTTGTAGAAAACTATCATCAATTGTACAATTAATAGCATCGTAAACATAATCCAATGATGATCGATGAATTTTTTTATTGCTTTCACAAATTTTAGATAAATCAACACTTTACATTGTAAGCTTACATTAGATAAAAATGATTTTTAATAAGTATTGATTTCGTATAAATAAAAACTGATCATGAATAAAAACATAAATAGAAATTGATGTTGATAATATCAAAGAGAGGATAAAAAGAATTTTTTTATGTTGATGGTAATCAGTTAGCTGTAATTACCTTTTTATCTCATTTTTGTAAGGAATTTTTGCTAAAGTAATAAAAGAAAGACGATATGAAAATGGCAAATATGTCAACAACAAGGACTTGTTGTCAAGGGAGAAAACAAAACAGCTAATTTAACTTTTAACAAAATAGGATAATTTTCTTGAGCAAAAAAATATCTGTTAAATTGATAAATCTTATTTCTTTGTTCTTCTATTTAGCAATTCTATTGATGTCGATAACAATAATACTACAGTATACCACACGAAGATGAAGTGCAAAATAAAACGGATATAATAATAATCATGTTTTTTTATGTATATTTTTTACGTACTTTTGTAGACTTCTGTTAAGCAACAATAATTTTCTTACAAGGAAATGAATGGAGATAGCACGTTTCAGAAATGTATATTAATTAAAAAAAACATATCTATTTTCATACATACTGGCAGATTTGGAGTGCAAAATGAGATGACTACAGACAGAGTAGAAATAGTAGTTAGGAGAAAAACTTCTGTATTAAAAACTGACAATATACAATGAAGGTCAACAATTAGAGATATACTAAAAAGAAGAAACTTATCATAAGATCATAAGTTTTGTAGATTTTTGTTGCTTGTATAGACTCTTCTTCAAAACTTTTGTCTAATCTAACAAGCTATAACAAATCACTTTGAAAAAATCGATTCTGTACAAGAAAAAAGATCTCATCACATTATCCAAGAAACGATAGTTCGTAACAGCTATTTATCCATCTTCAAGTAAAAATAGAAGAAAAATGCCGATATTTCTGTATTATACGTTGGAAAAATCGAATATATACATATTTCCTACTTTTATCAGTTTCAAATTTGAATAATCAATGATTTTTTACTATTAATAAAACATATGTTCACACTCTAATTATCAAAAGCTAACAAAAAATGAAAAATCTATTTACCATCCATAATTATCACAAACCTTTTTCTGTTTAGTTTATGTTTTTTTCTAAATAATCAAGGATGAAACTATGTCACTGGTAAATAAAATGAAGCTTAACGAAAAACTTCCTCTCTTCTTCAAAAATCTTAATTACTGAAATTGAGAGAAAGAGAAAGAAAAAGAATAAGAAGACAGAAAAAAAAAATCCAATGGAATTTTTCTAAATTCGAACAGAAAACGAAGAAAAGACCGTTAACAACATCATTGTTTCATCGCTAAAAATATAAGTATCATTAATATAGTGTTGAATAAAGAGATTTTTTTAAAAAAAACTTTGGACAAATAATAAGGATAAAGTTTACTTATACAAACGATAAAAGTTTTTTTATTCGAAGGAACAGTATAGATGCAATCTGTGTCATCAATCGTTTTTCTCTTTCTCAACGTGCATTCGTAATCATATCAAAGATAAACACACAGTATTCAAAAGAAAACACAAATAAAACGCCGAACAATTTCATTCATTAACTGAATTAATGTTCTTCTTTCACCTTCTACTGCTGTATAGAATGAAAACAGTCAATTACAGATATATCGAAAGTTTACCCATACATTTACCCAAAAGCATCAACATTTGTCTATTCTAAAACTAAAACAAAACTTTTTCTTGTATAGTTTTACATCATTCGATAAACTTACTTTACTCTTGTATCTTTTATGATACACGTTGATCTATCACAGACAACAGATTAAATAAATAATTTTTAGAATATTTCTATTCTAATTGAATTTTTCTAAATCGAATGATTGAACATGCCTAATCAGATCTTGTCTTTTTGTCAGACAATTTCTTTTAATATATTGTAAATGAACCTTTAATTTAATATGTGCATGATTGGTTAAGATTAGAGCGTTGATATTAATATTGGAAATGAGAACAATTTTTATAGTCTCTCTCTTTCTTTCTCTTTCAGTTATAAACCAATGTTTCTCTACTAATCTCAATGATTTAAACCTTCTACCATCATTCGTGTAGTCGAAAATCGTAAGTTTAAAAAGCATGAAGCACACAGGTTTGAGACACGTCACATCTATATGCGTGATTATGATTAGAAATTTAGAATTCAATTAATAATAGGTGATGTAAATTATTTTTCTTTTGTACTTTTTAACGAAATGGTTTCTGGATGAATCTCAAACACTTTTTTTAGTTAGGATTGACACAAATATTTAGGATAAAAACTGTAGTACTATGTAGTTACCTTGTATTAGTATAATAATCGTAGTTACTAACTAACGAGAATTATGTTGTTAAAATGGAAATATTCAATTCTTTTGACAAAACTTTTTCCTTATATTGAATTATTTATGAACGTCATCTAATTTACATACATTGTGCTTTTGAAGTTTTTATGAATAATGTGGAGTCAAAGTATCCTTTAATTGAACGCAGTTCTGTATACGATTCCATTATTATGGTAGGTATGAATCAGACGAAGTTTTTTCAGTTATTTTAATTTTTTTTTCTTTTATTAATATAGACCTGCATTTTTGTCAAAATACAACGTTTTTAACGCATGAAAAGTATCTTATTATTTCAAAATAGAAGATCAATTGGTAAATTTCATCAAAAATTTTCTTTTCTTTTATGAAGTTGGATCTTCGTATCGTATTTCTCAGTACTCATGTTTGACTTATTTAGTAGTATATCTAAATTTTACGATGCCGAAAAAAAAGTTGAACATAGAAATCTAATAATTTCTCATCAAAGTGAAAACGACATGCGGAAATGTATTATTCAATATTTCATCATATGATGAACTCATGCAATGTAATGTTCCAATAAAGTTTTAATCACATAGAACTGTGTCATGCTGACAATACCATCATAAACTACAGTGGAAGTATTAAGGGAATATTCATTATGCTTAAAACAGACAAACATCTTTTGCTTTTTATTGACTGTTTTGTTAAAAGTCTGAACATAGTTTGTGAACTTACCAAACAATGTGCAGATTTTTTAGTAAACAATGTTACAATTACAATTATAAACTCTAAAATCAACAGAATCCACTTCATATTTTTTTTTCAAAATAAAATATATAAAATTACATCCGTTTACTCAAGATTCAGATAGAAAAATTCCGTTTCTCTCCAGTAATTTCAGACAATACAGCAAATATATAAAGATCAATTTTCTATTTTTGAAGTATAGTATTTCTGTTTAATACCAAATTATTCAATCATATCGAAAATGAAGAAAAATAACTGAAATGAAAAAAAATTAATCGCATGTTCACGGTTGCATAAATAGATCATCATCTAATGTATGTGTCAAAAATAAACTTCATAAAAAACGAGAGCTATTTAATACTTTTGTACTTGACACAAAAGTTTTAGTTAAGAGGGAAAACGAAGCGTTTTTTTATTCAGATCTACTACAGTGCGTTCTATTGTTTCGAGAAATATCCAAATAATCCTTATATCCGAACATGAGATATTTAAAAGTCTTCCGTAGTTATCAACATCAAGTGATGTGGTGATGATCATTCTGATTACTTGCCCTGTGTCAGTAGTGTTCACTTCAATTTGATGAGTTTATACTAGATTAATTTCAAACATTTAAGGAATGTTTATTTTTATTTTATTTAAGAAAATATGAAGTCGTACATAAGTTTTAAAGACAAAAACAATTTGAAAAATCCATGTTATGTTGCTGTATCGGCGGCTGCGGCTAGAAAGAGGGTATGTTGAGATCCAACTGCTATCATTTGAATCTGTTTAATATCCATATATTTTGATGATATGATTTTTGGTATTTTTATATCTTGATGTCCGTGCCCATGCTGTAACGATGTACCATCACCAAACGAATAAACTTTACCAGATTTAGCCAGAATAAATGATACATGATTTCCACACGATATATCACAAACTTCTTCGGGAATATCTTCAATTAATTTTGGCACCACGAGATGCTGAGTAAGATTTTCATGACCTAATTGTCCTTCATAATGACGGCCAAACGAATATACACGACCTAAAAGACATAAGATTAATGCAAACTACACGGATGACTACAATAGATAATGTTCTTGATCTTTTGCATGAATGCAAGTTGGTCTTAAAAGATCGGAAAACCGTTAAAACTAAGAAGCAGTGTTAGTGATTGAGTACATGGTCGGAAAGATCCCGGGAAAAGGGCAATATTAAAGTTTGAAACTGTTAAATTCGGATTCCCCATCTAAAATAACGATGCTCACGACGATTTGGTTAACCCCTGGAGAGATTTAAGCGGAAAGTAATTACAGGTCACGCCATTTTGGTGGCGCCAGTAGTTATTACTTTTTGCCTAAATCTTTCCAGAGGTTAACCAAATCTTCGTGAGCATCGTTATTTTCGATGGGTAAATTTAACAGTTTCAAACTTTAATATATCGCCCTTACCCGCGATCCTTCCGGTCATATGAAAATCTAACAAGTAAAATAGACTATTAAAGTTTTGATGAATTAAAAGGCGTCAGAAAGAATAAAATAATATGCACCTACAGAAGACTATGTCCAAAACCAAAACTGAGTTTCACATAAAACGTAGAAAAGCAAAACAAACAAATAGTGTAATTATCTCCATCAAGTCATCATATGCAACTTGATTCGAGTGTAATAGCTATCGACACACAATAGTTATATGTATAGATAAATCGGATCAATATTAAACTCACCATCATTTGTTAATGCCAACGTATGATGTAGACCACTAGCAAATTTTCTCCAATGATATCCTTCGAGGGACGGAACAATTGTCGGAAAATATACGGGTTCAGTTGACTCAAAACCTATGAATGATCATTAGATGAGAATGAGAAGGAGACACGTAAAAAAGAAGAGCATATCATACCTAATTGATGGAAATTATTCAATCCTCCAGCAAGTATATAGTTTTCCTTGTAAACTTTTAGGAAAAATCCGTGTGCACCGGTAAAAATATCTTCAAATATCAAATTTTTTTCATGAATTCCATTACGATTATATTGAATTAAAGACGGTTGAATTAAACGTTCTAAAAAGAAAATATGTGAAATATAGAAATATTCCAAAATGAGATTGTTACGTACCAGTCCCGCCTCTGCCTCCGTATTCACATGTATAACGATTCAGTCGTCCCAATTGTCCTGTTTCTCCATTTCCACAAGAATAAACTTGGCCAGTTTCACTGAGAAATAAAACAAAATCGTGTCCACTTGCAATTTTAATGATTTTCTCGGGCAGATGAATTTTAATCGGATCACTTTCAATTTGATTTTTTTTTATTAAACCAAATGGTCCATTTGTTGAACTACGAAATGTTCCCCAACCTAAAAATGACACAAAACGCATTTGTCATTGAAATTTAGGTAATTTTCTCTCAATCAACTCACCATAGACTCTTCCAAGGTTTGTTAATACCATTGTATGACTATCACCAGCAATAACTTGAATAATGTGCTCAATTTTATCGTTAATAACTTTTGATAAATCAACTTGACCAAATTTTACTTCATCGTCCGAACCCTCGTCATCATTTTGCGTATGACCCAGCGCTTTTTCATCATTACATCCAAAACTGTAAACATGATTTTGATCGGTTAACAAAACACTATGCAATGGTCCAGCAGTAATTTGTACAATTTTTTCTGGTATTTTTGGAACTGGTTGAGCATTTTGTCTCTCTGTTATATTACTAGACATACCCATTTGACCCATGCCATTTTCTCCGACAGCTAATACATCGCCGCCCGTTGCTGATGATAATGGGAAAATGGATAATGCTGGAGTTGCTGTAGTAACAGGACGTTTTACACTATCTTCTAAAATTGACAAAGGGAATGATCCTTATGCACTTGTTTCAAACATCCTGATAACACATAAGTACTACACAACACAAAACTTAGTTTGTCTTTTTTTTAAAAACCTGTGCGTTAAATGAACTTGCTCGTCGCATCATCCATTTTTCTGACGCAAGGCTTTTTGCACTACAAAAAGAACATTCTTTACATGTTATACCTTTTCTTCAAAATATTAAACAAAACTTACTCAATATTAAACGCTTTTTGCTACTCCGATTGTCCGAATTAACATCATTGTTATTTACACCTAAAAGATATAAAACAAATTGAACATTATTTCGTGAGTTAAAACAAAAAAGTAATAGTAAGTTGACTTACCGATATGATCGTATGATCGCTTTTTTGGATTTTGTTTACTTGCGATTGCTAAACAAAAGAAGTTGGTGCAGTGTGCTTGATCAGACTTTGTTGCTGGTTGTAGACTAAACTGTTCTACGTTATGGGAAACGCGTGTGGCAGTTAAACATGAAATTTTCGAAAGTTTGCTCGTATGAGTTTTTTCTCAAAAATCAACGGTACACACATATTATCGGAGATTCTTTGAAGAAAAAACTTAAACTCATAACTCTTATGTAACCAAACAAACCAATTTTCAGCATTTCGATTGTTCATCATACGCTAAGCGATTAACAAACAAGTCGCAGTACAGTTTACTACTTTTCTCCTCCTAATCTTTCATCTTCCCTCATGTTATTGGCAAAGGTTCGCTGGAATAACTAAACAAAATGGAAACCTAAATTTCAAATGATACACGGCACACTACGCTTCCATGGATACAATTGGTCATCAGAAACCTGAATAAGTGAGATGAAGACCATCATCCGGTCGTCCCTTTTTTTACTGAGAAACTGAACTGAACTGAGTTTCTGAGCCATCAGATCGTAAATTTTTCTGTCACCCAATCAGAAAAGTTCAGTAAAATCAGTTTCTCAGTAAAAAAAGGGACAACCCATCATCCTGTTGAAGAATATAAAATAAATCGTTTGATAACTTACAAGGAGACATTCAATTAAAATTATTATATGTTGAATTACTAGTTGAAACTGATTTTTAGAGTTAACAAGGTGAGAATTCGTTTCACATCATGAAGCAAGTACACAAGTTTCACATCCCTTCTTCTGATATTTTTCTTCATGAGTAATAGATGTTCATGACTCATTGTCTCGCTCATTTGTATTACACATCGACCAAGGATAAATCACTTTGGAGATGTCGTATCAACACCGTGAAGCCAACACTGCCTACCGTTTCTAGAGGGTTGCGAATACAAAGAAAAGAAAAAACAAAAGTGAGACCATAAAAAACAAAATCATTGCTTCTTAAAGCTTGGACTTATGTGACAACTACAGTCAGCAGAGGGACGTCATGGAAAATTTTTTTTTCATATAACGCTTTTAAAACTTTTTTCGCTTTAATCGAAAGTAACCGATTCCTATTAGATCCGATCACCGGATTCTTTAATATTCTCACGAAAGTCGGCAAGCTTACCGTACAGGATATGTAGGTTAAGAGCTTTAATAATACGATAACGTTACAGTTGAACAAAAGTTCTTACTGCACATTTTCTCTGAGTCCTCAATCCTACAGCATAAAAGTTTTGTTACGACTCTAGAAAAATGCGTTTTATTTGAGCTAACCTTTATTCTGTGCATCTCTAGTGTGCACAAGTATAGAACTTTTCTCTTTCGAATACTGGATCTCAAAAGATTGATATCATAGAAAAACTTGACAAATCTCAACAAAGAAAACTGTTCATAATGATCTGACTTACAATAGATCGGTAAGGAAATAAAAGGCACAAATACAGTCTAATTCCAGTTGTTCTTGAATACGATATCAAAGCTTTTCTCTCGACTCATGATAAGCGATACAGAACATACTCACTTGTTCCGATGGTCGTCGGGGAAAAATTTTTAGTTTGAGGAAATTTTTCAGGAAAAACTTCAAAAAAATAGCTTTTTGGCTGAAAGAACTAATTGCAGAAGAATTTGTTCTGATAATAAGGAATTTTCAAGAGATTTTTCCATTAGGGAAAGTTTTTCATTCTTACGGGTAGATCCTGCACCTCTGTTCACGTCCAACAAACAATTCAAAAAGTTTGTTTTGCACCCAAGTGAGCAAAAAAACCTGGTTGACCGGCGTCCGGACTAGTCCGAAGTGTCCGAGTAACCCGTCCAGACTAGTTCGCATTTTGAATTTTTTTTCAAAATGCCAGGACTACGAGTCTTGACGTACGACCGGATGCTGAACCAGAGGAGTAAACAGGACGGGGTGTCCAAAAGTCGAGCATGACGTGCTACCCGTCGGTAGACCAGTGCAGAAATTTCCCCATACGTTCGGACGTATAGTCTTGGCACTAGTCAAGACGTACTATAGGATACCAAAAGGATTTACTAAAGTACCCGTAAGAGATATCCTACAGAACCCAATTAGTTTTGTGTTAATGGTAAAATACCATAGGGT